TCCCTCCCCCCCCTCTATAAATACGAAAAAAAATAACGTTAAACGAGGTTTTAATTTCAAGTCGCCTAATGAACTAGTTCTCCGAAAGGGTTATTCAATTCGAGTTTAGGATCGACCTAAAATTGGTTGTATTTTGGTATCTATAAATTTGTATTATATATCGTATAATTCTATTATTATAAAATTATTTTTACTACAATAATTATAATTTGACTCGAGTAGGCAGAGTCTTGGGGTTGGTTTTTAATTTGAGTTATCAGAATTATTACAACCCTTTAAAAGCGCTACGTATAGTGAACATTAAAAACTTTTTGAGAACATTAAAAATTTGAATTTAAAAACACTGCGTGTAAGCCGTTTTACGTAGTAGAATTCGCCGATAATCTATCCCAGTCACCGCTAATTACGTATAAATAAGGCCAACTCTAACCTAAGTCGGGGCCGATTTTGACAAAATCAGTTATATCATAAAAATATAGAAGCAAAGAAAATAATGTGTCTTTAGTTGCTAGAAGTATAAAGCAAATAAAAGAGTAATACAAATATTCGAATTAGAAACGAGAGGGTATTTCTGTTTTTCTTGTTTTTTTTTTTTTGTATGTAAAAAAAAGGTGGTTTCGTTATGTTACACACCTGATCTTAAAGTTTCAAAATCACGGGAGGATCAATTTTTGGGGAGTTTTCATGATCATCGCTTTAAAAAAATGTTAAATCTTTTAGATGAAACAAACCTTTATGTCGGTCTAGATTTGTCAACTCAAGCACTAAAACTTACGGTTATAAATGATAATTACCATGTAGTATTTGAAGAATCTGTGCACTTTGATAATGAGTTTGGGGATAAATATGGGTACGTTCTCCTGTTCTTGTAAATTAACATCAACGCCTAAATATATATATATTTTAAATGATAAATTTCAATCATAGAATAAAAAATGGTGTAATAACAAATGAAAACGTTGTGACTTGTCCTACAATGATGTGGGTAGAATCCATAGATTTATTACTTGAAAAACTTCAATCACAAGAATTTCCCTTCTTTAAAGTCAAAGTGATTTCTGGGGCTGGCCAGGTATGCATATACAGTATACTAGTTTATTCAAAAGTTCTTTATTAAAATTAAAATTTTTTTTTCTTAACAAAATAGCAACACGGAAGTGTATACTGGTCTACTACATCTCAATCTACGTTAAATTTGCTAAATTCATCATATTCATTAGCCACTCAATTAAAATCTAATAAAGTATTCGCAATCACAAATTCTCCAACATGGCAAGATTCAAGTACTTCACTACAATGCAAAAATTTGGAAAAATTAATTGGTGGACCAGATGTATTGGCACGTATTAGTGGTTCTAAGGGCTTTGAAAGGTTTACTGGTAATCAAATTTCAAAGGTTATTATTTAATTAAAAAATGTTATAGTATTTATGACTTTTAATAAATAATAACATATTTCCAAATATTTTCTTTTAGATTTGCCTTCAATCTCCATCTCAATATCTTCAAACATCTAGAATATCTCTAGTTAGTTCATTTCTCGCTTCAATATTTCTTGGCGATTTTGCCCCAATTGATATCGCAGATGGATCAGGAATGAATTTACTTGACATTAATACAAAAAATTGGGACGATAGGTTATTAGATATTTGTGGCAAATATTCCACTCACGCTTGTGAAAATGATATTAAATTCGGTGAAGAATTAAAGGCGAAACTTGGAGTTCCTGAAAGTGATGGATTAAAAATTCTAGGAAATATTAGTGATTATTTTGTTAAGAGATATGGGTTTAGCAGCGGTAAAGTTGTGTTATTATAATATCATAGATTTACGATATATAATTCTTTAACTCGGTTATATAATTTTTCATCTAGATTGTAAAATAATTCCTTTTACGGGTGACAACCCCGCAACCCTCCTCCCACTACAACTATCACCAGGTGATGTGGTAATCTCTTTAGGCACATCGGACACTGTACTATTTTATACAACAAAGACTCATCCAACGCTTGAATCTCACACTTTATGTCACCCAATTAATAAAGATTTGTATATTTCTATGCTATGTTATAAGAATGGAAGTTTAACTAGAGAATATATTAGAGACTTTTATTACAATAACAACAAACAAGATGATGAAAAGGATATTGATTCTGCAAAATGGAAATGGTTCAATGAGATTCTTGCAGCTTCATCACCAGACCCCAAAAAATACGGATTTTATTTTGTGCATCAAGAAATTATTCCATTTGCTAAAGGTATTTATCGTTTTTTTAACAAACATATGGTTGACGATTTCAAGGATATGCCCGAGAGCAATATTAGAACAGTAGTTGAATCACAATTTATGTCAATGAAGTTAAGAGTTGATAAATTATTATCAGATGATAAAAATGTAAATAAAGAAGTTGAATTGGTTAAGAAAGTTTTAGTGGTTGGAGGAGCGAGCAAGAATAATGAGATTTTACAAGTATTGGCTGATGTTTTTGGTGTACAGGTTTGGAGGTTTAATGCTACAAATAGTGCATCATTAGGTGCTGCAATTAAAGCTAGATTGACTTTTAGTAAGTTTACGAATAATTATCGATCAGACATTACTATTAATGAATTGTCAGAAAATGGTAATGAATTAGTGGCGCAGCCGAGACAGGAAAACTCTGCAATTTATAAATATATGATGAAAGATTATTTGGAATTGGAGCAAATAGTTATTGGGTTGCAGAAAATTGGTTAAACTAAAAGTATAAATTTATTTTATAGAGGTACCTCTATCTTAGCATACGGATGTATTATGGTTGTAGATTCTCAAAATAACGTGTATTATTTCGAATACAAATCTTCGAAATGACTCACCAATCACTGGTAAAAAATTATATCTTAACTAAATAACTTATTTCTAAATATTTACTAGGTAATATATGCAGTTTAATACAGTATATTTCGTCAATATGTTTAAATACATATATTACTTAGTATTTGTACTATATATTACTGGTTAATATTTAGTTAAACTATAATTTTTTTTTTACCGGTGAATGATTCATAAATTGAAGAACGGCCTTTATAATTTTATAAATTGTCTTATCGCGTGTATCAATAGAAACTTATAAAAAAATATGATATTTAAAACTAACGCGTTCTGTTTATTCGTGTTTTTAATGATTAAATATTCAATATGCAACTTGTTACAGAAGCTATATTACTGTGCTCCAAAATTTGTTGATTCTCCATTTTTTACCGATTACAAATAACTTAGGTCGATTTTTAATGCAATTGGTTACGTATTTAAGCTTATTATGCAGTAATAAATTCAACGCGGCTTCGTATTAATATAATGAGAAAATAATAATCTAGCTTTGGGTTTATGAAATAAATAAATTGTTAATAAAAATTTTTTTCCTTCATTAATAACTATGGAAGTATAATGATCTTTCTATCGAATTTTGGAAGCTTAAGTTATAATGAATATTTGAACGCGTTAGTTTTAAATATCATATTTTTTTATAAGTTTCTATTGATACACGCG